CCTTTGTTCTTGCAAATCTTTATTTTTTTGTTTTTATCTTATATGTGATTAAAAGTTCTCTGTTCTTTTTCTTTAATGAAAAAGTTCTCCTATATGAGTTGCTATTTCTATAACAGATCAAAGAAAAAAAAAAAAATTTCAAGTGGTGTTATAATTTGTTGTGATGATTATTTTTACTTTTTTTTAATGCAATAAAATAATTGTACCTCTCAATTCTAATTAAATTGTATCGTAATTTTAAAAATTGCACAAACATGGGAAGTGTCCTGATACATTATACTCCCATTATATAAAAAATTAAGTTTTGTGATAGGCAACATTGAAGGAAAAGAGGCTTACAGTAAATGTTCTGACATGGAAGTGCTTGTGAAGAAAATCTTATGTAAAAAATACGAGAAGGGAGGCGACGAAGGGAGCTTTTGAAGTATACAGTCGTTTTGAGTAAAAGGTCATCCGGCGGACATTGGGCTAAAACATTGGAATCGTAAGAGCAAGCAGTGGTGACAAAAATGTGGTATGTTTTATTCGGATTGTGGAAATGAGTTTCCAGCTCTTTAATAAAAGCCTACAACCAAAACTAGAAGGTATTGCTCTTTAATAAAAGCTACAACAAAACTAGAAGGTATTTTTATGGTTCGTAAAAAAAGGCCAGATTGGGTTATTCAATGATCAGAAGAGAGAGATGAAGAAGGAGAAGATGATACAAGAGAAGAGACATGTTTGACATGGGTAGTCTTTTGAAAGTGAAGAGTGCATTGAGAGGAGGAGGAGATTTGATGTTCTTGGACCGTCTTTCCTTACTTTATGCTTTTATTAATCAAAATAAGGTTAATAATTATTTTAGTTTAATTTGACCGCGTGAAGCACACGGAGGCTGGAGAAAGAAGAAAATGGACAATTTTTACTTTTAAGCCCAAGTGGTGCGAATTTTGTCAAAAAAAAGGTAAAAAAATGGACAATTTGTAGTAGGGTTATGCAAAACCCGAACAACCCAACCTGATCCGACCAAATCGAAAATATAAGGTTATAATGATTTTCGGATCAAATCGGATTAGATAATTTGAAGGATGTATATCCCTTATTCGGGTCAGGTGGATCGATTAAATACCTTATTTAACTCGATCCCACCCGAAACAATGACAATATTAATTTTTTAAAAAAATTTTTTCACATGACTCATTCTCCTCGCTTTCTTCTTTTGCTTATAAAATTAAAAATCTCGAATTAAAATTATTTTTTTTCTTGAAGATGACATGTATTTTTTCTTGAGCAACTAAAATATAATATTTAAGTTTTCATGTTTTTTATTTCTATTATGTATGTTAAGTACATAATTAGGACTTTTTAATTTGCTATGGTTTGGTTATGATTTAAAGATGGAAAATTATAGTATATGATTGTGATTATTGTGGTTTGATTGTATTATATTTTTTTTTCATTACAAATGTTTGATGTTGATTATGGTTTGATTTATTTTATGATTTCTTTATTATGGTTGTTTGAGCAACAATTATTTTTCTAGACAACTTTTTTAATTGTGTAGGATCCAAATAAAAATTTTGATTGTGCAAAAGCCATATTAAAAAAAGTATTCAACCCATAGAAAAATATTTAATTAAAAATCAAGTTAAACAGGCCTCGAATAATCCGATTCGATTTTTAAAGAATTTGAGTCAATGAAACCATTCTCTTTTATTTAATCTGAGGTGGTCGTTACTCACCCCTAAGTTTTATAGTGGTCTTAATTTTAAGGGGCCTTTTGAATTTTCTTCCTTCTTTAAATAAGTGATGTTGACTTAAACGTATAAGGATAAAGTTTGAAAAAATAATTAATGATTCTTTAATTTCCTAAAATAAAAAATGAAGTGAGAAAAATTAAAATTTTGATAGTTTTAGTGGAATGGATGTAGCGATAAAGTAAGTAGCAAAAAATCAATTACACGTTAGTCAATAACTATTTTGTTATTACACCATAATCAATAAAAAAACTATTTTGTTATTACACCATAATCAATAAAAAAAAAGAAAGACTCTTGTTAAAGTGCACATTCCCACTTCCCATTTTCCAATTCCCACCCACATGATCTTGTTTCTACTAACTAGTTTCTTTGGTTTAGGAATTGGAATTTATTTTTAATATTTTTATTTATTAACAATTAAATATTTATAATTGATTTTTTTTATTGGTTAAATACTTAAAATTAAAAACACACAATACGCACACACGAGTTAAAGATAAGACATATTCCTTTATAAAACTATGATAATTTTACAAGTGAAATTTTTTTTTAATATAACTTATTAATAACAATATCAGATATTATAAGTGCTCAATTAAATTTGACATAAAATTTACTCTCATAAGAATTTTTTTAATAAATCAAAAAAATTATTTATATTTTTTAAATAAGAAAATTAAAATTAAAAGAGATAATATTAGTGGATTTTGATTATTGGCTTAATAAGATAAATAGTTTCAATTCAACTGAAGACAAAAGAGTTGAAATATCAAGTTAATGGGGTCAAAAAATAGGAGTGACTGATAAGAAATAGGAGTGACTGATAAGCAATGTATATAAATAGGGATGCAATGGAAGTGTAGCGTGTATTCATTTATTTTAAATTATTTATAATTAAATTCTTTGAAAAGTTTAACATTTATATACCAGTTTCAAATCTTTCAAAAAAAAATATTTATATTTAAATTTGCTTTAGATAGATCGAGACCTATAGAATTAATTAGATTATTAATAAGTTAGATTTATTCAAGTATTTGATTTTTTCGATCATAATCGGACACCTTCAGATAATTGTTGAAAGCTCTGACTAAGCAATTTTTTATAAGTAGAATTGACATTGTGGAATGAATTAAAAACCGGGTTACGGTGCCCCGCTGCGTGCTAATCTAGAATTCGGAAAGGAGATATCTGTTGAGAGCTTCAAGTGAACCATTTTAGGTAAACACATCTGACGGTGCAGAATGAACCAAAAATTGGACTACGGTGCCAACTGCATGCTAATCCAAAATTCATAAAAAGTGTTGGTTAATTAAGACGGCATGATGAAGTCGAAATATGCTAAGATGTGTATAACAATTCACATGCAAAATCAACTATCCGGAAATGGACAGCGCTCAAGCGCATCACCTATATCTGATAAATAAATTGTAGCCATATAAATAAAATCTTAAATAGATACAAACCAAATTTAAAAAATAGGTTCGATTCAAATAATGCATTTTAAATAGATAACGCATTACGAACCCAAGATCGAAAAAAGATGAAAGTGGAGTGCATGCACGAATTTAAGTAGTGGTCTCTAGAAAAGAATATCTCTCCACTCCACCATGACCTTGTGATGGATACTGCTAACCCAAAAGCCATCATCTTTTGTTGTTTAGTGCCTTTTGACCACATCAAATTCGTACCTACCTTCATTTACCAGTACGTTTTTTTCTTTCACATACTATAACGGCTATATTTCATGGCTTTCTCTCTCTCTCTCTCTCTCTCTCTCTCTCTCTCTGTTTGCCAGCCATTATATGATCATATGCGAGTAAATATGGCCCCTTCCCTTCCCCTTGCTTCCAATTCCAAGTACCAAATCAAAGAGAAACAAATCAAACAAACAAAGAAAGAAACTTGAATAAATGCCTGAATTGAATTACCAAATAAAACTGTCATGTGGGATTTTTTTTTTTTATTTCTTTTTTTAACTCTAACTCTCCAAAAGGGTCCTACTGTCTTTATACAACTTTCTTGTCCCACCCACATCAAAATTTTATTATAAATTTCTCATTTTTTAGCTCATAAAATAACAAGAAAATTTCATAAACAAGAAAAAAAAAACATGGGTAGGAACAAATATCACTCATCACCAGTAGATTATTTTTGTCTACCCACATCAAAATTTTATTATAAATTTCTCATTTTTTAGCTCATAAAATAACAAGAAAATTTCATAAACAAGAAAAAAAAAACATGGGTAGGAACAAATATCACTCATCACCAGTAGATTATTTTTGTCTACATCTGCATTAAAGTGTCATCACATACATTATATATGTTCTTTTTCTTTATTAATTAGCATTATGATTTAAGAGTGAGCAGCAATAGAGTTGAGAGTTAAAATGTATCTTGAAAGTCAATGTGAAATACCCATTATAGTTTATTATTGGATGGAACTATATAAAAGGAGAAAAGAAAAGGAAAATATATGTAGAAATTAAGAAATTAATTAAGTTATATATAGCAGAAATTAGTAGTGCATGGTTCGTGTGTGTTAAAAACAAACACAGCTAGATAGCATTATAGTTTATCATCTCATCACATCAAACAACCATGCATGCATCTATTATCAATTTGCTGAATCATGAAAATGACCTCCAAGAATATTTTCTCATTTCTATCCACAAACAATGAAATGATATGAGAGTAATATATATATATGGATGGCAACTTTAAACACCATTTTTAACTTTGGTTCTTCAGTTTATAACCATGTCAGAAAAAAAATTAACTTCTTTAAATTTGAGAAATGTACTAATTATACAGAATATATATTTACAATGTATTAGACATCAACAACATATTCACATAATTATTTTTGAAAAATCAACCATTATATGTTTTTCAATCCATGAATTAACGTGTTCATAATAGATTGTAAAACAACATGGAGGTCAAAGCCAGTCAATATACAAGTAGTCTTGTGCTTCTAACAGCATGCACAGCATGGTATTATATGGGAAAATGCAACTGAGAGGAAGTAAAATGAGGGAAATTATACATTAAAAAAAATGCTGAGAATTTCTTCGTAGGAAAAGGGAAAAATGGCATAACAGAGAAAAACAAGGGTGAGAATTTCTTTATAGGAACAATTGACTTGTGTCTTTAAGCCAAGGTTCCTTGTTAACTATTATTTAAAGGTCCTTGTTTAACTATTATTTACAACCGATTGCTTATACATTATCTAAGTCCTTTAAAGAAACTTTGAGATTGGCCTAAGCAGAATCTAAAAAACTGCTTAAAATCTGTTTACTCAACATTAGTACATTAGAAATGATACAGAAACTTTTTTTTTTCTGAGTTCCGCAAATGCTAGGCTTATGCAGGCTCCCTGTCCTTTGTTCATACTGCAAAATCTGACTCAACATTCAGTACATTAGAAATGAATACAAACTTTTTTTTTCTGAGTTCCCAAATGCTAAGCTTATGCAGGCTGTCTTTGTTCATACTGCCATTATTTCTGCTATAGTCATTTTTGAACCCCCAAAAGTTTCCAACAACTGGTCGATGAAAGAAGCCCAAGTTCAGTCCAAGTTTGATTGGTAAGCAACCTAGTAAAGCACAATCTTGTAGAAACCGCCATGCAAGCTGTAAGTACTTTAACTATGAAAAACCTGGAGAATAATGCAGTGCTGCTGATCTTAAATGACCAGGTGAGGACGATGCAGCTGTAAAAGGACTCCGCTGCAGCACACCAGAACCTTCCGCAGTACAACCCCACCTAACGGGACATGTGTTGCCTAGCTTAGCTGGGACTGCATGAAAGCTAGCATTGCGGACTACAGGTGATTCTCCAAGAAGAGGATGATCTTGTGGCTGATAACAGGGAAAAGGATGGACATAACTCGGAGCTGTTGGAATCGAGATACCAGAAGAAACTGCTTGGCTTTCCCTCACACCTTCCATGTACTTTGCAACATCACTACTCACAGCATTTTCACTTTCTGGAATGTCATCAATGATGATGATTTCTTTTGCTAGATTTGTGGAAGAATCTGCATGCTGATAATGGCAATCAGGAGTTGCTGCAACTTTGTCCACATTATCTGAGGGTGATACATTTAGTTTGTTCTTTAGCCTATTATGCCGGCTTGGAATGTTGTAATCGCCTTTATATTCGTGACAATCCATGGATGTTGCAAAACCACAATCTGCACGCTGATCTTGAAACATGCCTGCTGGTAGTCGCGCATGTACAGGTAATCTTGAATCAGATTGGCTTCTAAAACTGTTTGATAAACCACCATCAATGCATGGACCTACTGACTTATGGGAGTTACCAAAGAAGGCAGAAGCTTGGGACCCCATATGATGTAAGGGATGGCAGTCCTGATTCTGAATATTGCTAGGAAAGACTCTGGAAAATGCCAGAAACTGAGAGGCTTGATGGTTATTCTGAACATGAGGTTGAAACCCAGGAAGTGGCACTGGCATATCATCGTCTTTGTTGACCACCATTAAGTCCTTACCCATCAGCCTAAGTACAGGATTGGAAGTGGATGGACTAGCAGAATCAGAATCATTACGAGCTAAAAATTTTGCACTGGCATTGGGAGAATCCTTGAAAGGAATGGAACCTGCAGCAGGCTTAATGACTGGGGGAACCAACTTCTCAGGTACTGAACTTGCACAACTGTTCGGAGTAGCTAATTCAGGCCTTGCATCCAAATCAACTGGCTTCATGTTGGAGTTGAAATCCATATGCTTTCCACTGGCAGAAACGGTTACTGAAGCCATTTTTCGTCGTCTTAAAAGTTGTGAATCTTGATAATTCAAAGCAACACCCTGAGAAAATCTCTCCTTCCTTTGGCAACAGCATGGCTGATCATTCTTGAAACTAAGAGATCCCTTCTCAATATAGATCCTATCAAGTTTCAAATATTCTCCATCAAAAGCAGTTCTTTCCACTTCTGCACCTGTTGGCTGTGGAACAATGCCAACACTTTGCAGTGAAGGCTCAGAACTAGCACTTGTTGACCTAATCTTGTCTTGAACAGTGTAAGGTCCTAGAGCTGATGATGGTTCTGAATAATTGAAATCAGATCTACCAGCAGTGGAGTTAGAGATGGTGGATGCTGCAGACATAGGTGAATCTGATGAATCTCCATCGACCACATCATGCTGATCTGGAGAAGAATGAACCCGGCTTGTAGTCAAGGATGAATTCCCTTGAAAATCTTCTGAGCCCATATCTCTAGGACTTGGCAAAAATGAGCCCGGGGGTCCCGGAATAGGTATTGGATCAACCTCAGGAAAAGAGTTTCCTTGCCCAGCTTCAGAATCCAACTCCAATCTCATATCAGCATTTTGCTGATTCATACCATTTCCAACTTCGTCAGCAGAAAACATCTCTTGGTCATTAACAAAATCAGGCTCCGGTGGACCTGTTGGGGCTCCAGTATCGCATAAAAGCCCCCTGTAATCTTCAATGGACTGAAGAAAGTTAGAATGGATCTTCGAGGAATTAGTCAGCTTGAACACTTCTGAATCTACTGACTTAATCAAACCAGCTGTAGTTCTCCCATCAGAAGTCCTAGAAGATGGTTCAACAACAATGTCCTCCACATAGACACGAACATGCTTTCGAGCAGAGTCTAAGCAATCAATTTTTGATTGAAAACCATCACCGACTCTAACGGAAGAATCAGCATTTACTCGGACATCATTATCGTAACATTGAGGTGCAGATTTTGAGCTCCTCAAATCCAATGCTCCATCCCCTTGAGAAGTAGAAAACAATCCTCTTGCTTCCCTTGTTTCCATGGCAGTGCTTTCCTCCAGATATTCATCATCATTTATTTCTGCTCTTTCAACCTCATTATCTGCTTCACCACTCATCAAATCACACCCTTTATCTGCTTCAGAATGCCAAGTCACTACCTCTTCATCTCTTTTTTTCATGAAGCGCACTTGAGACTTCTTAAGAGCTGACCACTTCTTAATCCTACTATACATAGGTTCAGTCACAGAAGATCGGCCATTTACAGACATGTTTTTCCTAAAAGAGGAGAATCTCATTGCTTTAGTTACAATTGCATGAGCATTCCGAGGAGATTTTGTGCTAGCAATGCAAGAAATATCAGAATTATTGAAGGAATCTTTGCGAGTATCAACTGTTTTCTTGCTAAGCAAAGATGCATGATTCCTTGTAGAGTTTAAAGGTCTCAGCATACAACTATCATGCATTGAAGTTACATAATTCCCCAAGGGATTGGAATTTTGTTTCAGAGGTGGCAAAGAGCCCTCCGCATCATTACTGGTCCTGCCTTCCCCCAATCTTTTTCTCCCAGGAGACTGCTCCCTCTTGTTGCTAACTTGAACTTTATGAAATGACTTTTCCAGCCTCTCATTGTTTCCAGAAGAAGATATGGGATTATCAGACAGACTGGCAAATTTCTGGACATGATTCCTGTCTGCAATAGAATCACCTAAAAATGATTGACCATTCTCAACCAGTAAATCCCGAGGCAAATGCCAATTACATCTCACAGATTGATGGCCCTCTTCACTTGCAATCTTCTTCCCAAAACCTCTTCTTTTGGAGCAAACCCATGGTCTTAAAGTCCCAGAATCACAAGGTGGACTTTGTTTTGACATTGCATGTTCTTTCTCAGAAGTTTTTGCCTCTCCTTTATACCCTTCTTGACCTTCAGAAATCTGTTTACAGCAATTTTGACAACCATGTACAGCTCAATATTCATTCTACCAAATTGTCATAAAAAGTTCATTAAAGGCTAGTAATTCAAATGGGTTTGAGGTGGAAAAGAAGTGAGTATGATATTGTTCAAGAACCATTGTGCATATTCAGGAATTAGTAATAAAACCAATTCCATATGATAAGAGCTAAGGTTCAAGAAGAGGAGGCAATTCAACACTACTGGAAGCATCAAACACATATTTTACCTCAAAATAAAACATAAAAGGTTAAATTAGCTGTTCTAATAAATGCTCAAATTCTTTGGTCATAGAAATGATTTAGAAGTAGTCAATTAGAATATGCATAAATCTTTTTAATGAGAAAGGAAAAAAGAGTGGAAGTCGAAAGCAAAAAGACTGTACCTGGGAGCCATAAGCCTCATGGGAGAAAACTTTCTTTCTTTGAGGAACATGTTTCAGATACTTCTGATGTTTTTGTGCAAGGCGTTTTTTCTTCTTCTTTGAAATGTATTTACTTCCTTTGACTCCTTTCAAATGTTTCCTTGGTCCAATATCCTCCCCCACTTTTGACATTGATTGTTGTTCATTAAACTTCGATAAAATTCTAAGCTTAGTGCCATTTGCATCAATATAAACTGGACCCACATCTCCAGCATCCTCAGGATGAGCTGGTGATACCCTTTGCTTCTTCCCTTCATTAGAACTCTCAATCTTCTCAGTCTCCTGAGTAGGCATACTTGAAACTGTGGCCCAGTTTGTCCCATTTCTTCGGTCAAGGTCTTCTAATGTGCATGGTAATGCAGTAGAATAAACATCTACCATCAACCTTGTCTTCTTCGGCTTTATCCTATGTCTTGTTAACTTAGAATCAGCTGTCCATTTGGGTGTTGACTCCACAGAAAGGCACTGATCAATATGAGCATTCAAGGTAGTGTTTGATGTGGATGAGAAAGTTTTGCAAACAGGGCAAACTTTAGAAGCCATTGTTTCTGATACAGTAGTACAATTAGAGGCGATATCTTCAGTAGAGCTACGATCAGAAGTTCCACCAAATTTTACTATCAGCCTACACTTCTTGCCCAGTGGCCGTGAAGTGCTCTCAGTCTTGTTATTCCCAGGACCAACAGTCTCAACTGCAACTGAACTTCTCCGTGAATTCTCAGTTACCAATGGTGACCTAGATTGCCTATTATCAATAAGGGACTCTATCTCAGATTGAGACACACTCGTGGTGGTGGATGGGAAATCATTTTCTTCTCCAGATTTACATGAACTAATATCAATGCAAGATTCAAACAGCTTGTTATTCAACTGGGTACCGTTATTGTCTGGACTAGAAGGCTTTTTGTCAAACTTGCTTGTGTTTTGCTTCTCAAGTGAACTACTTTCAACCGTACATCTCTTAAGTGACTGATTCCTTACTGAATCAAGAGGCTGAAATGGTGGCAAGACATCTTTCACGCCATGTTTCAAACAAAGCTGCAAATTTTTCAGAGAAAAAGGCCAATTCTTCTTGACATCTTTACTCCGGGCTGTAAATACATAATCTCTGCACCAAAATCAGTACTTGCTGTTATCTACTGATAGCTATATTATAATAAAAATGATGATGATAATAATAATAATAATAAGTCACCAGTGAAAAGCTAACAGTTCAGAATCTACAGGAGTTGAAACCATCACAACCATAAGACCCTTATATCATATGATTCATAGAACGCCAAGAGAACCATATGAACAGTAACTAAGTAGATAAAGATTAAAGAGCCAAGAAATACCCATGACAACCAGATTTGAAAAATCTGGCGACGTGAGAAAGAAGTCTGCTGCCCCATTTAGAAATAGTACAGATTGAGAGAGGGATGTTTGTACAAAGTGACATGAAATCACAAGCATCAAGAAAGAAAGGGCAGGTGAAATTTGACTAAAATCGTTTAAAATCATAAACATAAACCAAGAAGCATATGCCTAGCTAGCAAAAGCTTTCATTAGCCAAAGCAAACAAGCAAAGACCAAAATAAAGACAATATGGATTTTGAAGAATTAGGCCCCATCGCCGAGCAATAAAGAACATGCAAAAAAAGAAAAACTCTGGATCTGACCCAAGAAAAGATCTTTAAAGATTAGATGGATGTTTCTGAGATCACCATGAGAAAGAGAAGGTAACAATTTAGTAGCTCGAAAAGAACTTTCAAAAAAAAAAAAAAAAAAAAAAAAAAAAGATTAGATGGATGTTTCTATGAGATCACCAATGAGAAGAGAAGGTAACAATTTAGTAGCTCGAAAAAGAACTTTCAAAAAAAAAAAAAAAAAGAAAAAAAAGAAAGGAATAGGAAAGAAAAAAAAAAAAAAAAAAAAAAAGAAAAAAAGAAAGGAATAGAAGAAAAATTAAAAAAAAAAATTACTATTCATCCTCAGAAGAGAGAAAGCATAGAAATTTTTACCTTATAGAGAAATTAGCAAGTGGGGTATGATGATCAAGAGGTGGGTTTGGTAGATCTACCTCTGGTAAGGGAAGAAGCTGCTTATGAGAAGCTCTCTCATCACTACTAGTACTATTCAGTTGGGGAAATTGGCAAGAACATGGGGGATCTGGTGGAGGGCTTTCAATGGATAACATCTGATGCTAAGCTTCTCTCTTCTTGTGCTGTTTTTGCAACAGTCACAAGCTTCTCCACAACTAATACTAGTACTACTACTCTTAAAATTATCTCTTCCACTTCCACTGGGCCTTATCTTTAACCTCTTAGCGTTCAGCATATATAACAACACTTACTATTACAGACTTCTCTCTCTCTTTATTTATCTTTCTCTTTCTAATACAAACCCCACCACCACCACCACCAAGCACAGCCTCCAGCAGCAACAGCAAAGGAGCTAGCCAAACCTAGCTATTTTATTATCTTTATTATTTTGCAACTTCCTTTTTTACAAGATCAAGCAAGCCCACTTGAATCTTCTTCATCCATCCAGCCTGCAGAGAAATTAACACAAAATCAAGAACTTTTAAGGAAGAAAGTGGAGTAGCAAGATTCTAGAACTGTTATTTTATGTGAAGAGAATGAGTGAAATAGAAGCATCTATTGTATGTGTGTTTTGATTGATCAAGCAAAGCACAAAATTAAGCAAAAGAACCAAACCCACAAGCAAAGATGATGTTGAAACTCCTAAAAGTATACTAGTTAACCGTTATTTTATGTGGGTGAACCCAGAGAGGAAAAAAAGTGCTAAAAAAATTTAGACTTTGAGGAAAAACCGTAATCCCATCTCCATAAGCCCAATAATCAAATCTAAATAAAGCAAAACATATGATAATAGAGATTATAGACTCAAAAAGTTTTATTTAGATAAACAAGAAATGGAGGAGAAGATAGCCAACCATTCAGGTAGTGAAAATCAGTGACGAGTGATTTAAGAAAGACAAAAATAGAAACACAAACTCATAAATCGAAGCACCAAAATGAAAGATTTAATTTAGATATAACTAAAACAAACCAATTAGAAAGCCCCAAAAGTTTTCCATTCACATGTTGTAAGCATACGAACTGTTCAAACTATGACTAGAGAGATTTCTCCTCATTTGAAAATCAAAGAATAAGACTTTCAACATATTGAAGCTTACCCACAAACTAAAACATAAAGAGATCATAAAATCACACCAAACTGTTTCCATTTAGCCCAAAAATAACTCATCTTATAGAGAAAAACCAGCAACAAGAGACAAAAGAAGAAGAAAGGAAAGCAACCCATAATCAAAGAAATTGAAAAGCAGCTTCTGGCAAAACAAACCTTAAGCTTTCTTTGAAGCTTTTGTATTTTGAGATGGTTTTGGGCAGAAAACGGGAGGAAATGAGGAATTAAGGCAAGGGGAAAAAAACAAAGGGGAAAGAAAGAAAGAGAGCTATAGAGAGAGAAAGAGAGAGGGGGAGAAAAAAAGAGCACCACCCACTCACACATCAAAAGGGCATCAGGTTCCTGTTTCTCTCTCTTCTCCTGTCTCTAGCAAAAAGCATTTTTGTACCATTTTTAACACTACGATTCACCCCTCATCTGTGAATATGCGTTTTAAGAAGAAAAAGAAAAGAAAATAGGAAGGGAGAGGTTTTTTTTTTTTTTTTAAGTTCTTGCAAATGCAAACGCAAATGCAAGAAATACAAATACAAAGCTGTCCTATCCTATACCTACCCTACACAAACACAACTCCTTCAATTTCTCTCATTTCTTTATTCTTGATTTTTCTGAATGCTTGTGGGGTCCATTCATTTAATTTCTCCTTTTTATCCTTCCTTTTCTCCCCTATTTTCAAACCCATGTTCGCTTGTTGCCTTGCTACACGACAAAACTTAATAGCTATGGTCAATTATCGCCTCCTTATTTATTTATTTATTTTTTTAATTTTTGTTAATAGCCGCTAATGCCACGGTCAATTCACTAAATAAGCAGTTTCCGTCCAGTGAAGCAGTAATTTTCTTTTTGGGTCCACAACATTCCAACAATATATAAAGCAGTAATTTTTTTCTTTTTTGGGCCACAACATTCCAACGAATATATATATATATATATATATATTATATATATATATATTATATAATGCACATATATATAATCATGAAGTAAAAAATAACTGTAAAAGACAGAGTATACATTTCCTTCTTCCAGCTTTACTATTTTTTTTATAAATTTTCTGATTTATTAATCACTTTTTACAATTTTTTTTATTTATTAATCACTTTTAAATTTATATTTTCCTTTTTTTCTTCATTAACTTTTCTCGGCTAAATATGAAAACGCAATTTATAAACCACAACCTAGAAATATAAAAACGCAACTTATAAACCACAATTTAGAAAAACTCTGCTATCTTCGATGAGTCTAGCGTATTGGGTCCATTTCAAAAAACAGATGAACCTTGATTTATCTTTTCCTTTTTATCGCTGATCTTCCTCTCATTGGCACTAGGTGTTTTTTTATATTAATTGTATGTGATTATCAGGCGTGGATAATTGGAGAAATAATCGGTTCAACTTTGCTATCTTCAACGAGTCTAGCGCATTAAATCCATTTCAAAAAGTAGATAGAATCTTGATTTATCTTTTCCTTTTTATTGCCAATCCTCCTCTCACTGACACTAGATTTTTATTATTAATTGTATGTGATTATCGGGCGTGGATAATTTGAGAAAATAATAAAATGAGGTTTGATCTGCAAATTAGTATTTCTAGCATAATAAGCCCATCAAATCACATTGATGACGATCTTCATAGACATCAGCTTGTTGTTTAGGAGCACGAGATCATGCGACGGCTGTTTGCCTGTGACACACTTTGTATCTAGGATGCAAGGCCTTGGTGCCGAGCTTGGTATATAGTACGTTACAAATTAATTCACTTTCATTTTGGTTTTGGTTTTATTTGCTTTATTTTGGGATACTGGATGCTACTTTATGTTGGTTTTGTAAATATAAATTGAAAGTTTTTTGATAGACTTTTGCCATCTTAAATCACATGGAACATATTTGGTTCTAGTTCTAAATGACCTATGGGATGATAGGTGCATAATAAGTATGGATGGATATTTAATAGTCCAACATTAATTTTAATTTTCGGTAGTTGGATTTTCTATTCCTTGCAGCACAGAACCTGATTCTTGCAGGGGTGAGTCACTGACCTTGCACTATGAGGGAGTTGTTGAATTATGGGGCTTTTCCAATAATTTGTTTTTCATTGACGATTTGAAGAAGAATAGAGCCTTATTTCTGTCCAAAAATTACAAGAGTTAAACAACTCTGTTGTGATTTCTACTCAAACAACTGAATTGACCAATAAATGATTATATACTTTTTAGGTGATATTTCTTTTATTTTTGGATAGTAAATCATTTTCTATTTTATTTATATTTGATTTTTTATTTTAAAATATCTTTAATCTTCTATAAACGAGTACTTAGAATTACTTTACTATCCATAACATATATTGGTTTATATTTGTTAATTGAAAATTCTTCATTTTTCTCTAGCTCAGGTATTACCATGATTGGATAATAAAGACCCCGTCTATAAAGGTAATCCTTTTCAATTAGATTCTTTTGGCCATTAAAATCTGTTTATTTTTTTTTCTTTTGTGTTTGTTTCATTGATGTCCTCCGCTTATTTTGTACTTTGAGATGAAAACTCATAAATTATAGAATCTGAAATTACTGCATTTTAAATATTCCTATTATAGATTCTCACCGAATAGAAATGTTTACATGAGAAAGTTTGTTGTATGATAGTTCGTTACATAACAATGGAAGTAATGAGATATACTAAAAGAAATCAATTGTTTCTCTTATATATAGCTTTGTGTTTCTTGTTGCAATCACTTTTCCCACTTCTTCTTCTACTTTATTATTACAAGTTTTTTCTATTTGCATAGCTTTTGGATATACTAAAAGAAATCAATTGTTTCTCTTATATATAGCTTTGTGTTTCTTGTTGCAATCACTTTTCCCACTTCTTCTTCTACTTTATTATTACAAGTTTTTTCTATTTGCATAGCTTTTGGATTTGATCTAGAATCTATGGTTAGCTATGGTAGAGGAGTAGTTTGATTTTTGTGGAGTTACTATGGTTTTTGAACTCATCATAAGGTGCGCAACTTCTACAGTTTATATTATCTTAATTTGACAATTTGATCTTTTTTAAGAAACTGAATTTATAAAGCAATAATTTCAATTACTCAATTCTAGAACAAATTAATCACAAAAGAAACTAGAAGAATTTAGAATAAACAAGTGGAAGAATTACTATTAATATAAAGTTGTTCAAAGCTCATTGTTATAATAACAAGTTAAAAGGAGATATTTCCGATGAATTTAGTTCTTAATTAACGAAACCTTTAAGTTCTTTACATACATATATAAAAACAATCCATCAAGAACTATCAATAATACACTTGAAATATTTTCACAGCTTATGAGATATACAGAAATATTTTCTAGAAATAAAAAATGGTATAAATTGAATATTCGCTTCCCAGAAATATTTTCTAGAATAAAATGGTATCAATTGAATTATTTCGGCGTTTCCGAAGTTAAGAGAGCTAGTAGCCACAACTCAAGACATCATTGGCTGGTTATAATTAAGAATTACCAAGTGTTTACAATTTGTCAAATTTAATAGGTTCGGATTGTTGGAGATTTGAAATAACGATACTTTAGAGCTAGATTTTTTATTATCAATTTCTTGTTATTTACAAGATTTAGAGCTAGATCTTTATCAAATTTCTTGTATTCAAGAACAATTATATCCGTAACTTGAAAAGAATTATATAAAATTTATTAGAATTGCAACTCACCTCTGTATCTCTCTAATACTCGAGAAAGGAAGGTCATTAATTCTAAGAGAGAATAAAACACAATGGTCAATAGGGTAAAAAAGAAGAAGAGTATATGTCGTTATGTTTTTCTTATCTATGTCTTATACAAACTTTACAAACCAAAGTGGAAAAATTAGCCACTATTTTAATGAAGAAAATTGATTTGTTGGCTTCATTTTACTTTGTAGGAGTTGACAAATATTATCGTTGACCATAGCTTACTATTGGCAGCTTTATACTCTATGGAGTTTTATCTTCAATTCAGAAATGGATGCAATTTTTTAGTGATAATAATTTATTTTTTTATTCTGTTTGTGCTTGTATTGTTTAAATCTAATTAGAGATATATCATATATATTGACTGAGAAGCTTATTCCTGAGTGCCTTCTTCCTTAAACATTCAATAAAAATATTGCAGCAGAACAAGATTTTGAAGGTTATCTGCAAGAACTTAGTGAAGAGTGTGCATTGAGCTTCTTTGAGATTGTTGAGAATAAGGAAGATTATAACAAATTCTATGAAGCATTTTCTAATAATCTCCGGCTGGATATATATGAGAACTCTACAAATAAGACAAAACTTATTGAACTGCTTCGATCCCACTACACCAAAAGTGGTGATAGTTAACGAGATTTAAGGACTATGTCACTTGAATGAAGGCAGGCCAGAGTGATATCTATTACATTACTTGTAATAGCAAGGTTGTTGAGAACTGCTCATTCCTACATGATAGGAATGATTACAATTTTTGAATATAATTATATTTATTTATATCTACATGTTAAGGTATTTCTGAAAAAATTTTATAAATAATTTTTAATAATAATTATTATAATACTTGAAATTTAATCATTAATTTTGAAATTTTGATATGTAAGTGTATCCTGAAAAATGACGAGTTTAATTCATACATGAAACATAATGTAATTTTTTTTATTATTATCGTTATTCCAATGAACTCCCATATTGGAGTTCTTATGAATCCTAATATATTTGACTGGAGTAAATGTATTTGAAATGATATTACATTCAAGTTATGGATTTGATGAAAATATCATACTATTGCTGATTAATTTGCAGCACAAACTTTCTAACTTTCAAAGAGATATATGAGATGTATAGTATGATATGATGTCTTTTAATTTCTAAGTTGATAAAAAAATGCAAGGTAGGTGCATTTATAAATTTAAAGACTTGAAAATTTGAATAGGCTTAGGTCAAAGTTCATTTTAATTAAAAAACATCATGCTTAACTTAAGTTCATTCTATCTAAAAAACTTCTAATTATTTTTATTATTTATTTAGTAGAAAGTTACAAATCAAAAATTTTTCAAAATAAAGTGGAATGTATATCAGACAAAGCAATTTGTGCAATACGCGGACTTCCACCTAGTTTTAATTAAATTCCAACATTTCACTTTTGATTTGGAGACTAAATAGTAATTCACTCTTTTAGATATTTTTACATTCCATGTAATATAATGAGTATTTTATTGGGGATAATTATCACATTTCACTATCAATTAACAAAAATAAATAAATAGAAGAATGGAGTATAGCAGAAAAAAATTATTAAATTTAAAAATAGAACTAAATAATAATTAATTATTTACCCAGTGAACTAAATAACAATTCACCCATCGTCTTAAATACAATATAAATTAATAATAAAGTTATTTTTATCTCATATTTTTTAATTATAATTAATTATTTAAAAACAATCAATAATGTTTGGACATTAGGAATTAAAGTATAAATTGATCGATTATTTTATTATTATTTTTATTATTTGAAA